TTACAACCTCAGAAATCCCCTGTAGAGTAAGGTGAGTGTTGGTTCAGACTTGACTCCAATGCATCATGACTTCCTTTTTTTAGGCTTTATCCAGTCTTAGGGCAGGTTCCATGTTTCAGATTTCCGTAAACTTTCTCCAGTATCTAGCTCAGTTCATAACCTTGCAGTAGGTTGTTAGCTCCTGTTAAGATCTGTCAGTTTTCATTGACTGATTTTTGCAGGTAGGTCATAAGGCCTCTTTACCTAGTTCTCCTTAAGCTGGAACCTCTTAACATGTTTAGCATCAGAGCATGTGCAAGCCTCCACTAATAGTTGGGCTGTAGTTGCATAAAGTGCCTTAGTTAGGACTCAATCTCATGGTTCCTTCATTGTCCAGTCAACTACAACTCAGCAACCATATGAACAGCAGAGCTGAACTTTGCCCTGGCCTATACCTCATCTCCATCTTTGACATTCTTGAGTCGCTTGAGGTAATATTCATGAAGGGCTCCACTCTTGTTGGCCCTCTAACCTCTCCTAGCATGCTGTCTCTCCCCAAGGACTGGTTTCTCCTGAAAATATGCCCAAATATTGTTAGACAGAGTTTCACCACCTTTGCACTAAGGAGGATGTACTTTCTTCAAGTCAGATTTGTTTATTCTTTTGGCAGCCCATGTTCAGTACTTCTCTACAACACTACAGTTCAAAGGAATTGATTCTTCTGTCATCTTTAGTCATTGCTAAACTTTCAGATGCATAAGAAGTATTCGAAAAGACCACAGCTTGTCTCAGGTACACTTTAGTCTTTAACCTGTTATACTTATTTGTTAGAGCTTTGGAGAGGTCCTTGACAGCAGATTTTCCCAATGGAACATGCCTTTGACTTCTTGACTGCTTCTGCCATGGTATGTAAAATGAAATTTCTAAGTAAAATGAAATTCCTGATAGTTTCAGTCTTTTCTCCCCCTATCCTATTGGTCGAGTGGTGAGAATGTTTCTTTTATTGATGTAACCTATATTAAAAGCTTTAGTCTTGGCGAGCTCTGGGGGCCTAGTGGCAGGAAACTGCACTGCAATCCCAGAGGTGCATGGTTCAAATCCACCAGATGCTCTGCTGAAGAGGGAGGAACAATCGCCTCCTGTACCAGTCAGATCCAATTTGATGGTACACACATAAAAAAATAAAGAAAAATTAAAAAAAAAGCTTTAGTCTTTCATGATCTACAGTAAGTGCTTCAGTCTTCTTCACTTTCTGCATGAAAGATAACTGCATAATGCAGATGAGTCCTCCTCCAATCCTAATGCCACATTCTTCTTCATATAGTCCAGCTTCTTCAGTGATTTGCAAATTGAACAGAAAGGTCTCCTGCATGAAAGGTGAGAATTCTAACACTAAACCACCACCAACCATATTCAGTCCTAGATACCTAGGATAAGTGTTGCATGCATGGCAGTAGGGAGACCAGTTGATAACCTGCTCTTCAAATCCAGGATGAAGTGATAAATAAAGGAGACTGAAAACAGTGAGTACTAAAAGAGACTTTTAAGAGAAAGCCAGAAGGATTACTGAGATAGTGGATCTTTCTGGATTCATGGAGGAAGGTAGAGCCATTCATTATAGACACAAGGAAAAACATGGAACACTGAATTTTTTTAAGGCTTTTGTGAAAAGTTTTAGCCATTTATTTATTGAAATGATGGCATATTCAAAATAACTGATTAGTGGCTGGCAGTGTGGAATTGGAGCACAGGAGAAATTATCAATATATTTGGGAGTATATTGTTGTTATATGCTGTTGACTAGCCTGTGACTCATAACAACCCTATGCACAATAGCTCTGAATCCTGCCCTATCCTGAGCCAGTCTTACTGTCTCCTACACACCTCACCCCATTATCTCAGTAACTGTGTCAATCCATCTCATCCAGGGCCCTCTCCACTTTCAGTGTCCTTCCACTCTTCCAGGTCTGATGTTCTTCTCCAAGGACTAGTCCCTTCTGGCAATATGCCAAAAGTATGTGAGACAGAGGTTGAAAATCTTCGCCTCTGAGAAGAAACTTGGTTTTACCTTCTCTATGAAAAACCTGTTTATTCTCTTTGCAGTCCATGGAATGTTCAATACTCTTCTTCAGCACCACAGTTCAAAGGCATTGATCCTTCTTTTGTCATCCTTAGTCATTATCCAGCTCTCTGATGCATGGCAAGTAATTGAGAAGACCATGGCCTGGATCAGGCACACCTTGGTCTCCAAACTGAATTTGTTACTCTTTAGCACTCTGGAGAGGTCCCTGACAGCAGATTTTTCCAATGCAGTTTGTCATTTGAGTTCCTGACTATTGGTACCAAGAGTGTTGATTGTGGAACCAAACAAGCTGAAATTATTAACAATTTTGATCTCTCCGTCTGTCATGATGTTACCAACTGGACCCATGGTAAGAATGTTTGTCTTCTTGATGTTGAGTTTCTATCCGTGTTTAAAACTGCAGTCCTTGACCTTTTGCAGCTGGTGCTTCAGGTCCTCTTCATTTTGGCTAGCAAAGTCTCCATAATGCAGATTGCTGATGAGTCTTCCTCTAATTCTGATGCCACATTCTTCCTCATAAAGCCCAGGTTCCTGAATAATCTGTTCCACATATATATTGAAGAAAAAATATGGAGACAAGATACATTCCTGACATAATCCTTTCCCCTATTTCGAACTAAGCTCTAAGAGAGATGCAAATCAAAACAACTATGAAATACCATTTCACCCCAGTCAGAATAGCAAAATTTAACAGAGCAGCAAGCAACAAATGCTGGCGAGGTTGTGGAGAATCTGGAACCCTTATTCACTGTTGGTGGGAATGTAAAATGGTGCAACCACTGTGGAAGGCGGTATGGC